CTTAATACTGATGTGTATGAAAGCCAACCTTCAAAGTGAGTTTGTCATTTCACATATTTACTAGTACAGTACTTAATGTGAAAGAAATAGAATCGATCATTGCAATATGAGAAAGATCTGTTTAGTTCTTCTTTTAATCCATTTTGTTTTTATGATCAGTCTCAAAATATAACATACACAACGAGGGATCAAGGGGAACCTACATTTAAAATTTGAGAAAGATCCCTCCCGTACTTCCCGAGAAATAGCGATAACAAACTTTCACTATCAAAATCCAAGATGGCTGCCTGTCGGCCATGTTGTTTATCCGATCAGTCTCTAAAATTGCCCTGCACAGCTAGGACCAAGGGGAACCTACATATAAAATTTAAGAAAGATCCCTCTAGTTCTTCCGGAGAAATAGCGGTAACAAACCCACACTATCAAAATCCAAGATGGCTACCTGTCGGCCATGTTGTTTATCCGATCAATCTCAAAAGTTGCCCTGCACAGCTAAGGACCAAGGGGAACCTACATATAAAATTTGAGAAAGATCCCTCTGGTACTTCTTGAGAAATAGCGATAACAAACTTTCACTATCAAAATCCAAGATGGCTGCCTGTCGGCCATGTTGTTTATCCGATCAGTCTCAAAAGTTGCCCTGCACAGCTAAGGACCAAGGGGAACCTACATATAAAATTTGAGAAAGATCCCTCTGGTACTTCTTGAGAAATAGCGATAACAAACTTTCACTATCAAAATCCAAGATGGCTGCCTGTCGGCCATGTTGTTTATCCGATCAGTCTCAAAAGTTGCCCTGCACAGCTAAGGACCAAGGGGAACCTACATATAAAATTTGAGAAAGATCCCTCTGGTACTTCTTGAGAAATAGCAATAACAAACTTTCACTATCAAAATCCAAGATGGCTGCCTGTCGGCCATGTTGTTTATCTGATCAGTTTCAAAAGTTGCCCTGCACAGCTAAGGACCAAGGGGAACCTGCATATAAAATTTGAGATAGATCCCTCTGGTACTTCTTGAGAAATACTGATAACAAGAATTGTTTACGGACGGACTCCTGATTTTAAGGACCCATCAGTAGACCAGAAGATAAAGCCCTATATGCCTCTTGAACTTTAAATTTGATAAATACCTCAGATATACCGAATATTTCTCTTCTCTTTCCAAATATGACTTGTTTATGTTTATGTTATCTACAAATGTTGCTATATATAGTGTTGTGGTTGCATTGCCTATGTCGTGTCTTACCGAAAGTTTAGGTAAGAAGTGAGAAAACAGGTCAAATCATAATACAAATGTGTTGGGAGCAGTTTAGCCTCAGTTCTGAACCCGATTCAACACCCTCGGGTAAAACCTCATTATCCCACATACCTACCTCTGCCGACCTCTATCAATGATTCAAATCAAGGTCAATATGTAGTCAAGGAGTCTAAGACAGGAACACCGAATTAGAGACGGATATTCTGGTCTAGTGTCGCTGGTACCTGATTCAATCAGTGCCTGTATATTGTTCCATATAGATATAAACATGAAACGTCTACAAGACACATTATATAATATCTACGTCGGCTTCCCCACATGGCCAGATACATAACGGTCTGTCTGGTCTCCATGCCATTATTTCTATATGCCCTGATCCCCCACTCCACGTCAGTCAGATGTAATAAAACATCTTTCAGTCACAAAACATGGTCAATTGATGGACGGAGATTAAGTGAAGCAATAACAGCTAATTCTCCTGATTCCATTAGTCTAGCTTTTGTTTATGTTTGCAGTGTGACGGATGATGTAACTACCGTATATGGATATCTCCAACACAAATTGGTACTTACGATTGCTCAAACTATATATATACACAATATTTATTTCAATACCACATATATTTTTGAGATGTATAGTCTATAGCAGATAGTCCAAGATGTGATTCAAGTTTGATCCAGGAAATCTAATGGATCTGGTTAAACCATCCAAACAGGAAATGATGATAAGCAAGACGCCCAAGAGTTTGAACTGCTCACCTGTCTATTTTCTCTGGATCCCTAAGGACTAGAGCTTCTATCACAATTAGGCTAAAACCATCTGATGTCGATCCTCTGCCCACAGAAGGGTCCTTCCCTTAATTGTAAAACTCTGATCCATGTTTTGAAACTCCTAACAGTGTTCACAACAGGGGAGCATGGTGTAACCTCTAACAGTGTTCACAACAGGGGAGCATGGGGTAACCTCTGACAGTGTTCACAACAGGGGAGCAGGTGTAACCTCTAACAGTGTTCACAACAGGGGAGCTTGGTGTAACCTCTGACAGTGTTCACAACAGGGGAGCAGGTGTAACCTCTAACAGGGTTCACAACAGGGGAGCAGGTGTAACCTCTAACAGCATTCACAACAGGGGAGCATGGTGTAACCTCTAACAGTGTTCACAACAGGGGAGCAGGTCAGGGGTAACCTCTAACAGTGTTCACAACAGGGGAGCATGGTGTAACCTCTGACAGTGTTCACAACAGGGGAGCAGGTCAGGTGTAACCTCTGACAGCATTCACAACAGGGGAGCAGGTCAGGTGTAACCTCTAACAGTGTTCACAACAGGGGAGCAGGTGTAACCTCTGACAGCATTCAAAACAGGGGAGCAGGTGTAACCTCTGACAGCATTCACAACAGGAGAGCAGGTGTAACCTCTGACAGCATTCACAACAGGAGAGCAGGTGTAACCTCTGACAGCATTCACAACAGGAGAGCAGGTGTAACCTCTGACAGCATTCACAACAGGGGAGCAGGTCAGGTGTACCCTCTAACAGTGTTCACAACAGGGGAGCAGGTGTAACCTCTGACAGCATTCACAACAGGGGAGCATGTGTAACCTCTGACAGCATTCACAAAAGAAGAGCAGGTGTAACCTCTAACAGCATTCACAACAGGGGAGCAGGTGTAGCCTCTAACAGCATTCACAGCAGGGGAGCAGGTGTAACTTCAGACAGCAGTCACAACAGGGGAGCAGGTAAGGTGTAAACTCTAACAGCATTCACAAAAGGGGAGCAGGTGTAACTTCAGACAGCAGTCACAACAGGGGAGCAGGTGTAACCTCTGACAGCATTCACAAAAGAAGAGCAGGTGTAACCTCTAACAGCATTCACAACAGGGTAGCAGGTGTAACCTCTAATAGTGTTCACAACAGGAGAGCAGGTGTAACCTCTGACAGCATTCACAACAGGGGAGCAGGTGTAACCTCTGACAGTGTTCACAACAGAGGAGCAGGTGTAACCTCTGACAACATTCACAACAGGGGAGCAGGTGTAACCTCTGACAGCATTCACAAAATAAGAGCAGGTGTAACCTCTAACAGCATCCACAACAGGGTAGCAGGTGTAACCTCTAATAGTGTTCACAACAGGAGAGCAGGTGTAACCTCTGACAGTGTTCACAACAGGGGAGCAGGTGTAACCTCTGACAACATTCACAACAGGGGAGCAGGTGTAACCTCTGACAACATTCACAACAGGGGAGCAGGTGTAACCTCTGACAACATTCACAACAGGGGAGCAGGTGTAACCTCTGACAACATTCACAACAGGGGAGCAGGTGTAACCTCTAACAGCATTCACAACAGGGGAGCAGGTGTAACCTCTGACAGTGTTCACAACAGGGGGGCAGGTGTAACCTCTGACAGTGTTCACAACAGGGGAGCAGGTGTAACCTCTGACAGTGTTCACAACAGGGGAGTAGGTCAGGTGTAGCCTCTGACAGTGTTTACAACAGGGGAGCAGGTGTAACCTCTGACAACATTCACAACAGGGGAGCAGGTGTCACCTCTAACAGTGTTCACGCCAGGGGAGCATGGTGTAACCTCTGACAGTGTTCACAACAGGGGAGCAGGTGGAACCTCTGACAGTGTTCACAACAGGGGAGCATGGTGTAACCTATGACAGTGTTCACAACAGGGGAGCAGGTGGAACCTCTGACAGTGTTCACAACAGGGGAGTAGGGCAGGGGTAGCCTCTGACAGTGTTTACAACAGGGGAGCAGGTGTAACCTCTGACAGGGTTCACAACAGGGGAGCATGGTGTAACCTCTGACAGCATTCACAACAGGGGAGCAGGTATTGAGAATGAAATGCCCCTGTGATTAGTACTGTCCATCTGCTTTCAATAAGCTAATTATGTGGTTTGTGGGACTGTATATATATCAAACATGAAACATTTATGCATATTTTGATCAGATAATATGTTATGTCATAAACATATTTCCACTGTTCAGTTGCATTTCATCTGCATGTAAATTAGACATTTGTACATACAGTAAAACCACCATTTATCCCCCAAAATATTGACACATCATGGGATTGTTACCGTCAATTGTGATCAAAAGAATTGGCAATATAAAGGGTGAATCAACAAATGATTTTTAAAACAGAAACTGGATTGTTTGGTTTGGTTTAGTATTGTTAAACGTCCTATCAACAGCTATGGACATTTCAGGACCCCCCCCCCCACTGATATGTTCGTGTTTGTCTCCTTGTGATAGCGCGGAACTGATGCCAACTTTATAGTGCTACCTCACTGAAACATACTGCCAAAGACACCCAGCAGGTCACCCCACCCAGTCACATCATACTGGCAACGGGCGAACTAGTTGTCCCACTCCTAATTTGCTGAGCGTTAAGCAGGAGTAGAAACTACCATTTTTACAGACTCTGGTATGTCTCGGACAGGGGTCAGAACCCAAAGCCTTCCTCACAGGGGCGAAAGCTCAACTAAAGGGCAAAAGTGAGGCTGTGATATATATATATATTTTTTTAATTTTTACAGTAATTTAGGAGGCACATGAAGTAAGGGGCATTTATTACGGGGGTTTCACAGTAGATAGAGGTCAACTTATATGTGAGATATACAGAGTAATTCTGTTACGGTTTATTAGTGTGAATGAAAAGCACATGAGATGTCAATATTTAGCAACAGATATAGATGTGAAGTATCCAAGGATATCAGAAGTTACTTATTCCTTACCGAAAGTCTGAGATTTCCAAAGTTTCCAAAGTCCAATAGCATTATTTGGTAGAAGAGTTCTTTGCTGAAACAAAATGATAAAGTGTAATTACTAATTGTACAGTACAATGGAGACAAAGGAATGATGTTCAGAATAGGTTCTTCTCTTACGTATATCTTGAGGGTTTGACAGAGAAATCCCCAAACTGACCCTCTGTTACAGTTTGAGGACAAGGTTACCACAAAGAGCTACATGATACGGCCGTCACACGCTAAATGAGCAGTTGTTTGTATTGTTGAAAAATATGAACTGCATTAATAAAACAAAGGGGGATTACATACTGGGTACATTAGTAGGGTCCTACATACCTGAGATTCGTGGTATTTACTGGGTACATTAGTATGGTCAAACATACCTGAGATTCGTGGTATTTACTGGGTACATTAGAACGGTCCTACATACCTGAGATTTGTAGTATTTACTGGGTACATTAGTAGGGTCCTACATACCTGAGATTCATGGTATTTACTGGGTACATTAGTACAGTCCTACATACCTGAGATTCGTGGTATTTACTGGGTACATTATAGTAGGGTCCTACATACCTGAGATTCGTGGTATTTACTGGGTACATTAGAACGGTCCTACATACCTGAGATTTGTAGTATTTACTGGGTAGATTAGTAGGGTCCTACATACCTGAGATTCATGGTATTTACTGGGTACATTAGTAGGGTCCTACATACCAGAGATTTGTAGTATTTACTGGGTACATTATAGTAGGGTCCTACATACCTGAGATTCGTGGTGTTTACTGGGTACATTATAGTAGGGTCCTACATACCTGTGATTCGTGGTATTTACTGGGCACATTATAGTAGGGTCCTACATACCTGAGGTTTGTGGTATTTCCTGGGTACATTATAGTAGGGTCCTACATACCTGAGGTTTGTGGTATTTCCTGGGTACATTATAGTAGGGTCCTACATACCTGTGATTCGTGGTATTTACTGGGCACATTATAGTAGGGTCCTACATACCTGAGATTCGTGGGATTTACTGGGTACATTAGTAGGGTCCTACATTCCTGAGATTCGTGGTGTTTACTGGGTACATTAGTACGGTCCTACATACCTGAGATTCAAGGTATTTACTGGGTACATTAGTAGGGTCCTACAGACCTGAGATTCGTGGTGTTTACTGGGTACATTCGTAGGGTCCTACATACCTGAGATTCGTGGTGTTTACTGGGTACATTATAGTAGGGTCCTACATACCTGTGATTCGTGGTATTTACTGGGGACATTATAGTAGGGTCCTACATACCTGAGATTCGTGGAATTTACTGGGTACATTAGTAGGGTCCTACATTCCTGAGATTCGTGGTGTTTACTGGGTACATTATAGTAGGGTCCTACATACCTGTGATTCGTGGTATTTACTGGGGACATTATAGTAGGGTCCTACATACCTGAGATTCGTTGTATTTACTGGGTACATTATAGTAGGTTCCTACATACCTGAGATTCGTGGTATTTACTAGGTACATTAGTAGGGTCCTACATACCTGAGATTCGTGGGATTTACTGGGTACATTAGTACGGTCCTACATACCTGAGATTCAAGGTATTTACTGGGTACATTAGTAGGGTCCTACAGACCTGAGATTCGTGGTATTTACTGGGTACATTATAGAAGGGTCCTACATACCTGAGATTCGTAGTATTTACTGGGTACATTATAGAAGGGTCCTACATACCTGAGATTCGTAGTATTTACTGGGTACATTATAGAAGGGTCCTACATACCTGAGATTCGTAGTATTTACTGGGTACATTATAGCAGGGTCCTACATACCTGAGGTTTGTGGTATTTCCTGGGTACATTATAGTAGGGTCCTACATACCTGAGGTTTGTGGTATTTCCTGGGTACATTATAGTAGGGTCCTACATACCTGTGATTCGTGGTATTTACTGGGCACATTATAGTAGGGTCCTACATACCTGAGATTCATGGTATTTACTGGTACATTAGTAGGGTCCTACATACCAGAGATTCGTGGTATTTACTGGGTACATTAGTAGTGTCCTACATACCTGAGATTCGTGGTATTTACTGGGAACATTATAGTAGGGTCCTACATACCTGAGATTCGTGGGATTTACTGGGTACATTAGTACGGTCCTACATACCTGAGATTCAAGGTATTTACTGGGTACATTAGTAGGGTCCTACATTCCTGAGATTCGTGGTGTTTACTGGGTACATTAGTACGGTCCTACATACCTGAGATTCAAGGTATTTACTGGGTACATTAGTAGGGTCCTACAGACCTGAGATTCGTGGTATTTACTGGGTACATTATAGGAGGGTCCTACATACCTGAGATTCGTGGTATTTACTAGGTACATTAGTAGGGTCCTACATACCTGAGATTCGTGGGATTTACTGGGTACATTAGTACGGTCCTACATACCTGAGATTCATGGTATTTACTGGTACATTAGTAGGGTCCTACATACCAGAGATTCGTGGTATTTACTGGGTACATTAGTATGGTCAAACATACCTGAGATTCGTGGTATTTACTGGGTACATTATAGAAGGGTCCTACATACCTGAGGTTTGTGGTATTTCCTGGGTACATTATAGTAGGGTCCTACATACCTGAAATTCGTGGTATTTACTGGGTACATTAGTAGGGGGTATTTACTGGGTACATTAGTAGGGTCCTACAGACCTGAGATTCGTGGTATTTACTGGGTACATTATAGAAGGGTCCTACATACCTGAGGTTTGTGGTATTTCCTGGGTACATTATAGTAGGGTCCTACATACCTGAGATTCGTGGAATTTACTGGGTACATTATAGTAGGGTCCTACATACCTGAGGTTTGTGGTATTTCCTGGGTACATTATAGTAGGGTCCTACATACCTGTGATTCGTGGTATTTACTGGGTACATTATAGTGGGGTCCTACATACCTGAGATTCGTGGTATTTACTGGGAACATTATAGTAGGGTCCTACATACCTGAGATTCGTGGGATTTACTGGGTACATTATAGTAGGGTCCTACCTACCTGAAATTCGTGGTATTTACTGGCTACATTAGTAGGGTCCTACATACCTGAGATTCGTGGTGTTTACTAGATATAGCTTTGTCTGGTGCTGCATCAGAGCGAACTTCTCGTTGACACAGCCAACAAACTTGTGATTCTTGAACATTTCACTTAAACCTTCAAGAGAAACATTGCTGTTAAAACAAATTATTCAATGTTAACATCAGACCTTAAACAAGAGGTCCAACAGACCTGTATTCCTTAAACGCTATTCAATGCTGTTGGCAAATACACATCTTTTAACTCTGACCTTCAACGTAAGTCAAGGTCACATACACTCTAAACAAATTTTATAGTAATCAAGCTAACAAACTAAAATTCAGAAGTTATCATTTCAAGATTTTGACACCTCTGACCCCTATGACCTTGAAAGAATCTCTAAAAGACATTTTTTTAACAAACTTGATGCATGCAGTCTTTATCTAGCATGTTATCTCGCATGCTAAGGGCCAAATATCAGAGTAGCACTTTGACACAGTGACTCTGGTTAAGGTCATAGGAGTGTATTGCTAAGCGGAAATAGGAAGTACATCCCTTGTTGAAAACCCAATGTAGGGAGACAGTATCACAATTTCCACATATTCTAATGTTTAATATTAAACTGATGAATATTGTATGTTGTTTATTGACAGAACAGTGTGGTCTTCTCTTCACCTCCAATCCGAAATAAATAACACAACACGCAAATACTCATTTGCCGGACTAGCCTGTCGTGCTTAGTGCAGTCGGCGTTTAATTGATTTCTGGTTGTTTCATATGTATATGAATGAGCCTGTGCAAAGGCTCCTCACCCCACTCTCGCGGGCGTGATACAAACGCCCCTAACTCGCGCACTCTGCGCACCCATTGGCGTACACAAACGCCTCATACTAAACCCCTATCCTCGAATGTACCGCGCGCTCAGGAACAACCGGAAATATCCCCGGAAACCTGCATCCCACAGCCAGTGCAATACATTCTCAAGGGCAACAGAGGGACCGCTGTCAAAAAAACAAGAATATGGCTACCTCACCGGATGCTCTCCCGGTCCTTACAAAAAACCTGCACACTCCCTATAAACGTACACATGTTACCACAAACAAAAACAAAAAATACTATTATCCCCGCATAGCCTCCCTGCCCTTATTAAAGCTTAACGCTCCGCGTTCCGTACTCTGTAATTCATGCTATAAAAACAGCAAATATTATATAGGCCGAAATGGAATTTTTAGCCGTGACCGCACTATACGATAGACAGCTAGATAATGACCACCACAGCGTATACACGCTACACACCCGTGTTCCCACGTGGCAAACCGCCTGCACGATATCTCCGTGCCCGAGAAGACAAATAATTCTCTCTAAACTGTCGAACCGCGAGAATATTTAATTCTTTCAATATTAAAGTATTTCAAAGCAATCCAGGCATTAATTCAGTTGTTTTTTAATCAATTAGTCACATGTGTCCATTTTTCTGTACTTCAGGAAACCGGCTACCTATTTCACTACTGTGAAGTTTTTCAAGAACGATAACTCTTACATGCAATTACTCTGTGTATATGGTTTTATTATAAAAAAATTAATCGTTTATAGATAATTAATTTTACACAATTTCAGCATTTATGAAATTGATATACATTAATGCAATACTAATCTATGTCAGTATCATTTTTATTGGCATTATTTTGCAAAAAATTGTGTTTATTTTTTTTTTCCAAAATTCACTCTTTTTTACATAAATTTTCATTTAAAATCCTTAAAATTCTGACAACCTATATTTTTTTTGTGGCAGAAAATTTTCTTTACTTCAAAGCAATTTAACTACAAAATTTGAAGAAAAGTTTACTGAGAAATGGCGACACAATCCTATTACCTTAACATGACCTGTTAATGCCGCTCTATAGCACCTTTGAGGGGATCAGTTACGGGTAGTGCCGCTGTCAGCTTGGATGAACACTGGTCAATGTGCCATATTAAGTTAATTGATATGCTCTGTGAAACTGGTTGACCAGGGCATCAGAGAGGTGACTGGGCATTCTCAGAACCTGTAGCAGACTTAAAGTCATGTGACTGGTCAGTCAACCATATTTGGTAATGATCAAATGATATGCTCTTTGGAATGATGGGGGGAGGAGGAGGAGGAGTGTAATATACACTGCTAGATCATTCTCAGCAAAAGTATCAGATTATTGAAATGCAAAATGTTTCATAGCATGTGAAATCTGAAAATTTGGATAATAGTAGCAAACTTAGACTGTTAGATTTCAAGAAATTAAACATACAAAATGTACATAATTATCGACAAAGAGGATTCCTACTTTGAGAAAGTTTGAGAAAGATATAACTAGGTCTTTCTGATAAAGTGATAAAAAGTTGCAACAATCATTCTTGTTCTTCTGATCAGTTCAAAAATTAAAGACTAACTGGAATTAACTTGTGAAATTTGAGAAAATATTTTCTGCAGGCGTCTTGTTCCTGTGATCAGTTCAAAAAGTGAGCATGCACAACTACGGACTAAGAGGAGAACCAACTGGTGAAATTTAAGAAATCCACCTCTAGTACTTTGTGAGAAATAGTAGTAACTAGAACACTGACAGGTCAGTAAGGGCCCCGTCTTGTGGCAATATATCCCCCATGATCATCAAGAAGCAATCTGCCCATATATATGAGCTTGAAGTTTGATATTTGGACTTTAAAAGAATCGCAAGGAAGCAAAATATACATTTTACATGTACTATGATGTGAGTCTTGTTTCCTTCCACCTCCATATTTGCTGGGCTAACAGGAATGTAAATACTGGTGCAATACTCATTTGTTAGCTTTGATTTGTTTTATTTCACCTTATATACCTCCTTCATCAAGAGCCAGGGTCAAAGTCAGAGATCCACTTTGTCTTTGACCTTTGGACCCAAATGACCTTAACCATTAACTCAGTGACCCTGATCTTTGGTCAGTTGACTAATTCTTTAATTCCGACCACCTTTGCTTCTTAATATCATTACAAAATATTCATCAGTGAAAATTACAAAACTTGACCTTGACCCTTTGGACCCCATAACCTGGACCTAAGGTCAGTTGACTCTGTGTTAAGTTCTGAACAACATTGCTCCATAATGTGATAACAAAATGTTCATCAGGAAAAAGGTACAAAATTTAACCTTCACCTTTTACCCAGTGACCTTAACCTTTGGTCAAGTGACTCCTTGTTTAATTCTGAGCTACATTGCCTCAAAGTGTCATAGCGAAATGTTCACCAGTGAAAAGATACAAAATTTAACCTTGACCTTTGACTTAATGATCTTGACCTTTGGTCAGTTGACTCCTTGTTTAATTCTGATCAACATTGCTTCATCATGTCATAACAAAATGTTCATCAGTGGAAAGATGCAAAATTTGACCTTGACCTTTGAATCTAATGACCTTGACCTTTGACCTCGACTTTTTACCTCAGTGTCTCTTTGTTTAATTCCGAACAACTTTGCTCCATAATGTCATAGCGAAATGTTCACCAGTGAAAAGCTACAAAATTTGACCTTGATCCCTGACCCAATGACCTTGACCTTTGGTCATTTGACTCCTTGTTTAATTCTGATCAACATTGCTTCATCATGTCATAACAAAATGTTCATCAGTGGAAAGATGCAAAATTTGACCTTGACCTTTGAATCTAATGACCTTGACCTTCGACCTCGACTTTTTACCTCAGTGTCTCTTTGTTTAATTCCGAACAACTTTGCTCCATAATGTCATAGCGAAATGTTCACCAGTGAAAAGCTACAAAATTTGACCTTGATCCCTGACCCAATGACCTTGACCTTTGGTCATTTGACTCCTTGTTTAATTCTGATCAACATTGCTTCATCATGTCATAACAAAATGTTCATCAGTGGAAAGATGCAAAATTTGACCTTGACCTTTGAATCTAATGACCTTGACCTTCGACCTCGACTTTTTACCTCAGTGTCTCTTTGTTTAATTCCGAACAACTTTGCTCCATAATGTCATAGCGAAATGTTCACCAGTGAAAAGCTACAAAATTTGACCTTGATCCCTGACCCAATGACCTTGACCTTTGGTCATTTGACTCCTTGTTTAATTCTGATCAACTTTGCTTCATAATGTCATAACAAAATGTTCATCAGTGAAAAGATGCAAAATTTGACCTTGACCTTTGAACCTAATGACCTTGACTTTTGACCTCAATGTGTATTTTTGTGAACTGAACATCTTGACCAAGTTTCATGAACATCGGTCAATAAATACCAAAGTTATCAGCCAGGAACAAAATTTGTGGACAGACAGAGTGATTACTATAGGACACCCGTATCTCTGATACGGGGCCCTAATAACGTTAATTTTCATAATCAAATATTGCCACAAGGCAGCCATCTTGTTCTTTTGATCTATCTCGCAGTCAAACAACCTCAACTAAGGACTTAACAGAAACCAACATCGGAAGTTTGAGAAAGATCCATCCTGGACAACGTGACAAATGGTGACAAGAACTTTTTAAGGTCACAGGTGATGGAGGAACAGAGATGAACAGACGGATGATGAAGTATGGACGGAAGGCAATTTTAACCTCCAACAATTTGACGATGGTTGGCTTAAAGTATTACAGACCGAAAAATTCTGACAATATAGATCGAGGTTTAATGCAAAGATCAAAGTACATGTATTTTTTTTTTTACTGTACATGGTACAAAATACACTGAAACTTCGAAATTTCATTGAAAATTTACTGCTCTCCTGTCAACGTCTGCAATGTACGCTGCACTGTCCAAGGCCCACATGGCCTATCTGGTTAAACCCTTCCAACAATGGGTTTATCTGTACATGAAATGAATTTGGATTAACTATGTTATGGCAGAAACAATCTTCAGGATTGATTTTTATTTTACCTTGCTTTTATCACTGGCATTAAGTATTTTATCCTTTCATCAGGTTTTTCTTAATTTAGAAACTCTTGCTACAAGAATTATACATGTGTATATAGCGAGGAGATAAGGACACTGTAGGAGAACCAGAAGCCAATCAATTCGCTTTGTCCTAGTTTGGATATTAGTGTTAATTCAGAAAGATATGAAATGCTTTGGCCCTAATTCCGTCCAAACTACATCAACAAGAGGCCCCAGAGGCCTGAATCTCTCATCTGGTTATTTGAGGAATCATGGCAAAAATTTGTTGCTGAAAGTGATATTGGAAATATTTCTCTATTTTAAGCTACGCATCTCGGGGGTCAAAAGCTTTGCTTCATAAATCATTTGATTTCATGGTTCCAAGAAAGACTCAAAGCAGATGATGATCGAGTGTCAATAAGGCCCTTTTTTGGGCCCCGATATATTCAGATTTTCAACTCCTGAATTTTGTTCAAAGATGTCCTATTGTATGACATGTGGAAAAACTAACGTTAAAGTTTGACCGAAAGAGGGTTTTTGGGGTACCAAAAGGGGTAGGATAAATCACAAATATAGTTTGATATTTCCCAAAATGGGCTTAAAAACCAAAATAATACCATTTCTGTTCTTGCAAACATGTATAAATTAAACAACCATATGTAGCAGAATGAAAAATGACAGAAATTCTACAGGGGGTTCTTTTAGGTCATTTTCAATTGAAAAGTGATTTGTTTTCTCAATTTATATTTCGACTTGAAATTTACAACTTCACTCATTTAAGTAGACTTTCATAAATTGCATATTCACTACATAGTTTCTTTTTGTTTTATACTGAGTTATGGCTTCTGGACACATCACAAACCTGGCTATTTCAAATATCTTTCAATCTTAAGTGAATTAAAAGGTGCAGGACACCTTTTATATGCTATAAGTATAAGATACGAATAGTTAATATTGTATATTATATATATCATATAATATTTGCTCAGCACCTGTGGCTGGAGTGAGTTCCAGGTCCTGATTTGCTTTTTTACTTATCAAAATCAAAAATGGCATTTGCCACCACAACTACTGTAAAATGATTAATTTAATATATGAAGTTTGTTTTGCTGGCAATTTTAAGGCTCCTTGACTCAAGGAAAGTATCAGCTTTAATCGTTAAAGTTAACCAATTTCATTGTTTTATCAAATGTTCTGCCTATTTCCAATGTTTATCTGCTGATTGTACATAGAAGGCATTTGGGGATAAGCATGTAACTTGCCATAGAGTTTAGTTATATGATGATATTTACTTTGTGAAGCTTCATACTTATCCCACAATGCCTTTTTACTTAAAAACACTTTTTCTTGTGATTTGGAGTACAAGGACCAAAGTGCATCTCCTTGCCTAACACCAAATATTTCCTGACAATACTAGTCTATATGAATGTATGTAGATTAAACAGGCCCAGTAGTGTTTATAGTAGTCAAAGGGGCGTTTGACATGCTACACTGACCAAAAGTCAGATAGTTTATGCTTTGAAAACGCCAAGAGGGACTAAGTTGTTCGTTCAAGTTAATGCTTGCAATTAACAGTTAATCCTTTTGTTGATTCCATACGGTTTATTTTTTACATTCAATGCTAGCTGCTACTCATAATATTTCCTATTATAATAGTATTTAAGGTTTATAAACTTTGAAATCTCAAAAAGGGATAACTATATACACAACAAGAGGCCCATTAGGGCCTGTATCGTTCACTTGGATATCTAAGCAATCATGGCAAAATATTCTCCAAATGAGATCTAAGGGAATATGCCAGACCTCAATACCAATTCTTGTAGTATGTCTGTATTAGATTTTTCATGCCCATCAATTTAATGTATGGTTATTGGGTGGGGATCTTAACTGTTTCCAAGCTATGACTCAGAAACTAGATCCCTAGGGTTGTGGCCAGACCCCAGGATCAATTATAATATCATGAATGCATTCATCTTTTTATGCCCAACCATTGTATATATAGTTTTGGGGTGGGGATCGTAACCATTTCGAAGTTATGACCCAGGGGTTAAGTCTGGAAGCTTGTCTGACAGATGTCAGTATCTGTATGAATGCCAACATGCTTAAACTTAATCAGGAAAAGACGGAACTAATCGTCTTTTCCCCAAAGTGTCAGCAAACAATGGCTCTCCAGCTCAAGGTTGGTGCCAGAACTATTGAGACTGTTTCAGCTGTTAAAAACCTAGGGGTATACTTTGACAGTTCTCTGAACATGGAGAAACAAGTGAACGCTATTGCCAAATCCTGTTACTACCAGATCAGAAACATCAGCTGTATATGGCAGTTTCTAACTGCAGATGCATGCAAGATTTTGGTGCATTCACTTGTTACCTCTCGGTTGGATTATCTGACAAACTAACAAGTCGTCTACAGAGGGTCCAGAACACTGCAGCACGGCTAGTTACTCGTACTCGAAAGAGAGAGCACATCACACCTGCGCTTTATTCGTTGCACTGGTTACCGGTAAGATACAGGTTGCAGTACAAAATTCTGGTATACACATACAAGGCACTGAATGGAACAGCTCTTCAATACCTACAGGAGCTTGTTACCCTGTATCAGCCGTCAAGATCACTGCGGTCAGAGTCAGAATCTTTGTTGTGTGTCCCAAAATCTCGTAGTGTGACCTACGGAAACAGATGCTTTGGGAGGATTTTGGCTACGTTGTGGAATAGCTTACCATCTGCTATAAGGAAGTCAAATACCCTGGCCAAGTTCAAGAGGGACATACAAACTCACCTCTTCATGTCTGCATTGTAGAATCTTTGCAAAGACGTCATGTAAATACCACCCTTTTATTTGTTCAATTATGTGCACATTGTTTGTTAAATGTATGAAAGTGATTGCAAGCCTTTGTTTTCACAATTATAACCATTACTATTATCCATATGTTGTAAAGCGCCTTAGAGTAACTTTACAAATTATATAGGGCGCTATATAAATGTTGTATATTATTATTATTATTTTTTGTCTCTTTATGCCAAGCATTTGAATATACAGTTCTGGGGTGGGGATATCAACCGTTTAAAAGTTATGACCCAGGGACTATGTCTCAAAGGGTGAGGCCAGACCCCAGGGCCATCCTGGAAGCAAATGTGCATGCTTCTCTTTATAATCAACAAATGGGTCGTCAGTCCCACCATTTGTACAATTTTGAATCCCTGCCTCCCATGGATGCTTCTGACCAAATATGATCGATATCCATGGCATAATTCTTTTTAAGAAGTTTATAGCAATATAGCCAAATTGCCCCCTTTTGGCCCCACCATTTGTACAATTTTGAATCTCCATTACCGAAGGATGCTTTCAGTTAAATATGGTTGATATCCATCTGTTAGTTCAAGAGAAGAAGTCCCTTAAATCAATATAGCCCAATTGCCCCCTTTTGCCCCGCCCCTCAGGTCCCTGGGGGGGCCAGATCCACGGTTTATACAAAATTAGTTCCCCTTCACCCAAGGATGCTTCACATCAAATATGGAACAAATCCTTGCATTCCTTCAAAAGAAGTATTTTAAAGAATATTTCCCCTATTGGGCCCCGCCCCGCAGGTCCCTCGGGGGCCAGACCCCTGGTTTATGAAAAATTGGTTCCCCTTTACCCAAGGATGCTTCTGACCTAATATGGAACAAATCCTTTCATTCCTACAGAAGAAGAAGGATTTTAAAGAATTTGCTATATTTCCCCTATTGGGCCCCGCCCCTCAGCCCCCAGGGGGCCCAGACCCACCATTTTGGTCAAAATCTGCTTAGTCGTTTATGACTAGTAGCGATTTTTAGGAAAAGTTGACGGACGCCACGCCATTGCATAAGCTCACTTGCCCTCCGGGCAGGTGAGCTAATAAAACCCTGTTTACTCAAACACGTAGAGTCCAGATCAATAGTTTGAGGAATACATGGTATTCGACGATTACAAGGTTAAACCGACATCGTCATTTTTTCATTAGGTGGGACACCAGACAGTATGAGTTCTCCAACTATCGCGGATAGTAGATGATAGAAGAAAAAAGAAGTTTGATCAAGATAACAGCATTGAATTAGATTTAAAATAGCTAAGCAATGAGAATATATAGCCACCGTTATTAAGAAAGTGAATAAAATTAAAAAGCTGCATGTGTAACGTACTTGTCATTTTAACATAATCCGCCATACTGTAATCGACTACGTAAATTTTACAAAATATCAGAATGAGAGGAACTCTTTGATAATTTTAAAACGAAGAAAACCTTGAATCCTTGTTATCATAATGTTGATTGATAACGAAATAAACCATCACGGCATATTCAGGTTTGAATATCTTTAAAGTTGGTTGGATTTTGACCAAGAGACTAAGTCCCCAGGGGTTGGTAGGACCTGGGGGCATGATTTCTGAAGTCTCTTCTAGGCTATAGGATGTTCTTAGGATTGGCTGTTTATTGGAGGTGTTTGGATAGAGTTGGGTGTGGAGGGACTGGGGGTAGTTGATTCTATGAAGCTTCAGATGTTGGGGATCATTTGATAGGACTCGTGGGAGCTGTTCTGGGATTTTGGGACTCTATGGAGTTGACATTTGAATCCATACCTTTATGCGTGTCGTCTCTGATGGCCTGCTGTAAGGACAGTACGCTGGAGAGCTTGATTTGGCGACGTTTTGTCTGTAGTCTTAGCGCGTTGTCTGTTTTTGAACTGCTGACTTGTCCAGGGCTGTTTGAAACAATTAGATGACTTTAGGCCTAAGAATGTAAATTCAATTTTCAATAAGGCAAAGTATTGCAAGGCAATCCATAGTCCCCCACTGCGAATGATTTCTTTATTTACTGAGCTGTACACCTATCTCGGGATATAGTGACACATTTTTTGTACTCTGCACTCTGCCAGACAACAAATACATGCATACGAAATTTGGTTACTCCAGGTGAAATAGTATAGAAGATACGCCCTGGGAAAAACTTTCTGAAAAGTTGAGGTCAGAGGTCAAACCATACATCACAGTGACCTCCTTTTTGTACTTGACACTCTGCCATCCCAAGATGTACCTACATACCAACTCTGGTTACTACATGTGAAAAATTATAAAAGATATGCCCTAGACAAATCTTCTGACGGATTGACAGATTGCAAACCTAGTTTACTTGTTTAAACGAGATGGCTTAGGTTGGATTCCCAGATCACATGTGAAAGGTCAAGCATAGCATGCCTGACTTTACAGTTAAACCTGCTACGGACACCACTCTCTAAAATGATAACCCAGGTTGACCACTCCATGAACTCCCATTGCATTTATTGTAATTATTGACTGAACCTGTACCAAGACCCCGCCTGCCATCAGTGACCACATTATCACACGTTGGCATCGAGACATTCGTCTTAATTGATAACCACGATGAAACTGCAGCTAGACCTGCTTGTAATACGGTAGGCACTCATAAACATCCCACTCATTCCACAACTGTGAGAAATGTATTGTTCATGGCTGGTCTGCGGGCACATCGTCCTGACCTCGACCCCCATCCTTACTGTCTCTTTTTAGTAACCTTGACATTGACCTTTAATAAATTTACATACCACAGGGTATTACCATGTTTAATTTAAAACAGATGAGACTTATGGATTCCGAAATAAGGACTTTACCTCCCAAAGTCTATTTTTAGTGGCAGTGACCTTGACCTTAATAACTTTTTAAACCTCTACTTCACGTCTACATATCATAATGTATTACCATGTCAAACATCAAAAAGATTAGACTTATGATTCTGAAATAAGTACTGACACCCCTTACAGTCTATTTTTAGAAACAGTAACCTTGACCTTAGAAGTCTTGAATTTCATGTTGCAGATTACACATTTCACAGTGTACATGTATCCCCATGTCAAATTTCAAACAGATTAGACTTTTTGTTTCCAAGACCATACCAGGAGACTGAAATGTGTGGATGAACAGACAAACAGCGTGATAACTATAGGGCACTCACATCTCCAACGAATTACCTGATACAAATTTTGACCATTATCTTACACTTCCTCATGCAGATGGCCTTGACCTTGGAACACACACCTTGGTCAGGTACTCACAGTACAGTTCTGACAGTTACTGTACACACACCATGGTCAGGTACTCTCAGTAGAGTTCTGACAGTTACTCAGAACACACACCATGATCAGGTACTCACAGTACAGTTCTGACAGTAACTGTACACACACTTTGGTCAGGTACTCACAGTACAGTTCTGACAGTAAGTGTTCACACACCATGGTCAGGTACTCACAGTACAGTTTTGACAGTTACTGTACACACACCCTGTTCAGGTACTCACAGTACAGTTCTGACAGTTACTGTACACACGCCTTGGTCAGGTACTCACAGTACAGTTCTGACAGATACTGTACACACACCTTGGTCAGGTACTCACAGTACAGTACTGACAGATACTGTACACACACCTTGGTCAGGTACTCACAGTACAGTTCTGACAGTAAGTGTTCACACACCATGGTCAGGTGCTCACATTACAGTTCTGACAGATACTGTACACACACCTTGGTCAGGTACTCACAGTACAGTTCTGACAGTTACTGTACACGCACCATGGTCAGGTGCTCACATTACAGTTCTGACAGTTACTGAACACACACCATGGTCAGCTACTCACAGTACAGTTCTGACAGTTAGTGAACACACACCCTGGTCAGGTACTCACAGTACAGTTCTGACAGTTACTGTACACACGCCTTGGTCAGCTACTCACAGTACAGTTCTGACAGTTACTGTACACACACCTTGGTCAGCTACTCACAGTACAGATCTGACAGTTACTGAACACACTTTGGTCAGGTACTCACAGTACAGTTCTGACAGATACTGAACACACACCTTGGTCAGGGACTCACAGTACAGTTCTGACAGATACTGTACACACACCTTGGTCAGGTACTTACAGGACAGTTCTGACAGTAAGTGTTTACACATCATGGTCAGGTACTCACAGTACAGTTCTGACAGATACTGTGCACACACCATGGTCAGGTACTTACAGTACAGTTCTGACAGATACTGTGCACACACCATGGTCAGGTACTTACAGTACAGTTCTGACAGATACTGTGCACACACCATGGTCAGGTACTTACAGTACAGTTCTGACAGATACTGTTCACACACCTTGGTCAGGTACTTACAGTACAGTTCTGACAGTAAGTGTTTACACATCATGGTCAGGTACTCACAGTACAGTTCTGACAGTTAGTGAACACCCTCCCTGGTCAGCTACTCATAGTACAGTTCTGACAGTTACTGTACATACACCTTGGTCAGGTGCTCACAGTACAGTTCTGACAGTTACTGAACACACACCTTGGTCAGGTACTCACAGTACAGTTCTGACAGTAAGTGTTCACACACTAGGGTCAGGTACTCACAGTACAGTTCTGACAGTTACTGTGCAGAAACCTTGGTCAGGTACTCACAGTACAGTTCTGACAGTAAGTGTTCACACACTATGTTCAGGTACTCACAGTACAGTTCTGACAGTTACTGTACACACGCCTTGGTCAGGTACTCACAGTACAGTTCTGACAGTAAGTGTTCACACACTATGGTCAGGTACTCACAGTACAGTTCTGACAGTTAGTGAACACACACCCTGGTCAGCTACTCATAGTACAGTTCTGACAGTTACTGTACATACACCTTGGTCAGGTACTCACAGTACAGTTCTGACAGTTACTGTACACACACCTTGGTCAGGTACGCACAGTACAGTTCTGACAGTTAGTGAACACACACCTTGGTCAGGTACTCACAGTACAGTTCTGACAGTTACTGAACAGTTTTTTCATGTCAGACGTGCAGATTTGTGATTCAGTTCCTGTATCAACAATGTTGCTATTTATTCACCCTACATTGGTAAGATTTGGCTGACAAGGTGATCACAAAGCTGATCTATCTACTGTTTGTTTCACAGTTAAACTTCACAGTCATGGAGGTGTAAATTGCTAACAAGGGGTGACGGACAGGGCCTCATTGGCGGCTACTAGTATTACTGTACATGTGTTGACCTATTACACGAAGACACTACAATAATACACTGTGTTCTACATGCCGCAAATAGACTTCTGAAAAATATTGTTTTAACATTATGCGAAGAGCTGCCCTGTTCATCCCATTTTTGTGAAACTATATACATCAACATGAAATCTTAAACTGCAAAGAACAACAGATCCTCATACAACCATACAAATGTTTTGAATGCTGCCAATACCTAAGCTAGTGAAAAAAGTGCTTGTAACTCTGAAATAAGAGGAAATGATACTAAAATGCAGGAAACTAATGATTTTGGTGATAACAGCTTTATTTTTATATTTTTTAACCGAGGATGTTACAGTACACTCTAGACCTCAAGGCTGACTGAGGATGTTACAGTACACTCTAGACCACAAGGCTGACTGAGGATGTTACATTACTCTATAGACCACAAGGCTGACTGAAGATATTTCAGTACACTATAGACCTCAAGGCTGACTGAGGATGTTACAGTACACACTAGACCTCAAGGCTGACTGAGGATGTTACATTACACTCTAGACATCAAGGCTGACTGAGGATGTTACATTACACACTAGACCTCAAGGCTGACTGAGGATGTTACAGTACACTCTAGACCTCAAGGTAGACTGAGGATGTTACAGTACACTCTAGACCTCAAGGTAGACTGAGGATGTTACAGTACACTCTAGACCTCAAGGCTGACTGAAGATATTACATTACACTCTAGACCTCAAGGCTGACTGAGGATGCTACAGTACACTCTAGACCTCAAGGCTGACTGAAGATGTTACAGTACACTATATAACTCAAGGCTGACTGAGGATGTTATATTACACACTAGACCTCAAGGCTGACTGAAGATGTTATAGTACACTCTAGACCACAAGGCTGACTGAAGATGTTACAGTACACTATATAACTCAAGGCTGACTGAGGATGTTATATTACACACTAGACCTCAAGGCTGACTGAGGATGATATATTACACACTAGACCTCAAGGCTGAGTGAGGATGTTACAGTACACTCTAGACCTCAAGGTAGACTGAGGATGTTAAGGTACACTCTAGACATCAAGGCTGACTGAGGATGTTATATTACACACTAGACCTCAAGGCTGACTGAAGATGTTACAGTACACTATAGGCCACAAGGCTGACTGAGGATGTTACAGTACACTCTAGACCTCAAGGCTGACTGAGGATATTACATTACACTATAGACATCAAGGCTGACTGAGGATGATATATTACACACTAGACCTCAAGGCTGACTGAGGATGTTACAGTACACTATAGACATCAAGGCTGACTGAGGATGATATATTACACACTAGACCTCAAGGCTGACTGAGGATGATATATTACACACTAGGCCTCAAGGCTGACTGGGGATGTTATATTACACACTAGACCTCAAGGCTGAGTGGGGATGTTACAGTACACTCTAGACCTCAAGGCTGACTGAAGATGTTACAGTACACTCTAGACCACAAGGCTGACTGAGGATGTTACATTACTCTATAGACCACAAGGCTGACTGAGGATGTTACAGTACACACTAGACCTCAAGGTAATCTGAGGATGTTACAGTACACTCTAGACCTCAAGGTAGACTGAGGATGTTACAGTACGCTGTAGACATCAAGGCTGACTGAGGAT